CTTCAGCTTGAGGTAATTGAGTCGCTTTTTCCTCTCGGCCTGAATGAATAACGGCTTCACCCGATCCCCGGCCAGCTTTGCAAAATTCAGCCTCAGCATTGTTTTGCCCCCATAAAGGGGGATTCCTCCCTTTCAGCTGGGGAACTATGTCTTCTGTCTTAATTTTTCTTCATTTTAATCCTTCCATTCCCCCCTTTTTCCTCACTAGCTGAAGCATGAAGCTCGGAGTAGGGCGGCAGGCCATCGGAGGGGTTTTAAACTACAGCTGATAAATCAGACAGCAGCTCTTCTCTCCCAGTGTCTCCCAGTTTACTCAGTCCTCCTGAGACTGTGGTGGGGGGTGCATAGCCAGTTGGGGGATTAATTTTGCTTGCATTTATTTATTTTTTGTCTTTTTTTGTTCAATTTGTCCATTCCCCCTCCCCCTCGTCTCTTTCACGCAGATTCCTTTTCTCAGGGGACGGTGTTATGTGTTGCTGTTTTTATTAGCGCGCTGCCTAGATGAAAGGCCTCAGTGTTTTCGCGCAGGCCACGCTGTCGGCTCTCGCCAGAGGGAAACAAGAAAAACTTCTTTTTTGACATCATTTTCCCACATATTCCATTGGCTGAGGGACATACTTGAGAGAAAGAGGGGAAAACTCTGGCTCTTTTGTCAGGGGGCCGTTTCTATGAAGAGGCGTTCTGCTTTTATTTTTCCGGTTTTGCCTCCTGTGCTTTTCAGAGTGAGAGACGACAACAGCAGCGAGCTTCTTGGTTAAATGCCTCTCATCTCTTCTCTACTCCACATACACCATTAGCATGAGAAAAGGTCTGCGGTCTGGATCAGACCTGGGGGGCATTGATCAGGGCCGGCTTATGGGCAGGTTGTTTTATTTTTCATAAGAGTAACATTTCGGATCACTCCAGATGAGAGGAACCCTCAAGGTTCTTGCTCTCAGAGGGGATATCGCATGCTTTGGCTGAGAGCGCTTGAACCAAATGCTCATTCATTTTTGGGGACTTTTTTGTGTGCATTCTAAAGAGTTGATTTTAAAAAAGGCACAAAAATGTTATGATGAATAAATAATAATTAAAAATCCTGCTTTGTATTAACGTTTACCAGGATAAAAATAACGTTTTTATGAATATTTCAGTATTTTATATGTATAGAGAGATCTATGTCAAATATAAATTGGAATATTCATGAAATTAATAATATACAGTATATTATAAGGTGATTACAGTCTAATGCAAAAGTTTGGCCACCTCTGATAATTTTCATAATTGCGAGCCATAGCCTGCTGGCCTTTCAAGTCATTTGGATATATTTTATACCACAGAAAAAAAGCTACACTTCAGTTCTGACAAACATTTATTTAATCAACAGATGCAATACTATTTAAGTCCTAACAAAAAAAAATGAAAATAATGTGGGCTCCTCAACAGAATAATGACATCAATCTTTTGTACAGCCACCTTTTACTGTAATATAAGCCTATAGATGCTGTCCTATGGTTAAGCATGAAGGGGGTCACACACCAGAAGCGCCATGCAGAGCCATGCATTTTAGATTTCTAAACATTGGTTTGTATCAGGTGCTACAAGTCGGCGGCTGCCAGCAGCCATCCAGTGTGTGATGCCATTGAGTGCATAAATTCTTCCTGAAGGCATTTTGGGCCATTTTTCCTTGCAAAATTTCTCCAGTTCAGTCAGATTTGAAAGGTGCCGAGCCTGAACGGCCCTTTTCAAATCAATCCATAGATTTTCCATGATGTTCAAGTCTGGGGACTGGGATGGCCGTTCTATGATCATTGTATCATGTCTGAGCATGAATTACTTGGTAGATCAGGAACTGTGCTTTGGGTCATTGTACTTCTGAAACACCCAAGCGTGGAGTAACTTCAGCCTCTTGACAGATTTCTGAACATTATTCTTCAGAATCTGCTGATACTGGGTGGAATCCATGCAAACTTGCAAACTCTGACAAGGTGTCCAGTACCTGTGCCTGCCACACATCCCCACAGCATGATAGACCCTCCACCATATTTAACAGTATAGAGCATACTGTATCTTCTCCTGGAATGCAGTGTCCATTTTCAATCATTTTAAACGCCTATGGTTATGGCATCTGTCTACAGTATATTTTCCAAAATGATTTAAGCTAGTCCAGATGAGCCTTTGCATAACTCAAACAACTCTTCTTGTTGGCAGAATACAGAAAAGGCTTCTTCTGCATCACTTTCCATTGAGCTGTTCTTTGTGAAGAGTTTTCTAGATTGTGACACGATCTATAATGGCATTATCAGCAGCAAGATGTTCCTAGAGCTCTTTGGAGGTGGTCTTTGATTTGTCTGTGACAATTCTAACCATTCTTCGCCTTTGCCTTTTAGATATTTTTCTTGGTTTAGCACATCTTTCCTGCACAAGAACTGTTCCTGTGACCTTCCATTTTCTTACTATATTTCTGACTGTGGAGATAGAGACCTTTAACCTTTATAATAGCTTTTTGCATTCTTCTAATTCATGTTGGTAAATTATCCTATGATCCTATTAAAATGTAAGAAAAAGTAAAAATAAAAACAGTATGAAGCAATTGAGTGCGAATCATTACCTTCATTTGAATAATGGTAAATTATCCTAGTAATTAGGTCATTAGGACCTGTTTAGGTTCCCATGTTGATACTTTCTGGTTCACAATAGGGAGAGCAAAACTAGCAAGCAGGTATCGTAAATATCCTTTTTCATGATTGGTTGCACCTGTGTTGGGATTAAGGTTCACAGAGTCACTCATCAGTTTTGTCCGACACAAAAGAAACAGTGCCCAAACTTTTGCATAGCCTATTTTTCAGTTTCAATTTATTTTCATTTCAGTACTGCTACACTATGTATTTCTGTCTGAAAAACATGACATAACTTGACATCTAGCTTTCACTAGGAATGGAATGGCATTTCACTGGGATCTTCTCTTACAGTATAAAGAAAGAGCACGAAATTATGCAGCCACAGAGGGGTGGACAAATTTTTGCAAAACTATATAATTGCAGGTACATTTATTTATAACAAAATACATCTCAACAGGTTGACAAAGACTCCAGTGCAAAAAGATTGAAGTATATGAGGAAAAAAAACTTTTAATGTCATTTGTAAAAATTTACCCACAATTGATCACCTTAGAAAGGGGTTAGAAGATTTGTATACAACCTGAAAATCTGTTTGCAAGCTTCAAGCAGCAATTTATTTACACAGAATAGACTTTTTCTGATATCTCCAACTACGGGATTTCCCAAAAACATTCCCACATATGCCACATATACCAACACCCAGCAAGATAGACTTGATCAAGTTAAAATCTTGTTACGAGGCTCTATATCATAGTTATTTAATGTATTATTCCCATCTTATGAATCTATCCTTTAATAAGATTAAGATGAACTGGTAATCAGAACTTTAATTAAATTTCTCTGAAGTTTTCTAGGAGGAGGCCTTAAATGTCAATTCATGATCCAGTTGCACCAGATTATCACTTATACTATTTAAGTTCATGCACAGACAACACTATAGCAAAAAAAAAAAAAAAAAAAAAACATGAAAAAATAAGTTGTAAAATGTGTTTACAGATGCAGTGTAACCTCACCTTACATATTATGGTCGTCCCCACAAACTGTCTGAATTCTCATGGTTATTTTTAAAGCAGTCTCAGACATGTTAGGCATAAATCTAACCCCAAACCCTTATATCGATATTTTTGGTTAAAATAATGCTTACATCACAATCATTCAAAACCATTCTAATATGTCATTGCCTTCTCCTCCCTAGTTGTTCATTAGAGAATTTTCTTAATGTGAACATTTCACCAACCACCCTCAATCAAAGTCTGGCTACATAACATGTAACATCAGAATTGGCCCTCACGTTTTTATTCACACACCTAGATAGTCATCTTCTAAATTGGACTCATTGACCCTGAGACAGTTTAGCACAACCAAAATCACAATAACCAAGAAGTCAGAAGTCATCATCTTTATTTATCTTGCTACTCCACACTAGAGCTGCACAATTAATCGAAAAAAAAAAAAATTGTGATCTCGATTCTAACAAACAAACAAAAAAATGAAAGACAGATTTAAAAACAGATTCATAATAGCTTGCAATAGACAGAGCTTTTACATTTTTTTACAGCTTTGAGAGACTTCATTAACAAAATAAGTTTGTTGATAAAAACTTGTATAAAAGAGGAGATTTTGAAAGTCTACATTTACATGGATTAATTAATCATTCTTACTGTTCAATGAATGCAAACTGTCATTGATTATTAAAGACGCAAACCCCTCACTGCACGACAGCTGCACCTTTAGCAAATCTCCTAATTCCTGCAGCACGAGGACTTTATGATAGTTTGTGTGCGTCAAAATTGGCTGATCTGTTCTGGAAATATTTGGCTGCATGTCACCGCATCCCAAACAACTAAAACGATATAACGATATAAAGAAATCTCCACTGTGCTGATTGAGAGCACTTCTTAAACTTAACAGCGCATCATTGATGATGCAAGCGTGCTCAGGCCCGAATGCGATGTGATTGTGGGCCATCCAGTGAGACGGGAAAGGGAGATAAGTGTACTTCGGCCTGGTTCAAAGCAACTGTACATAGTTTGAGTACGCCCATATGAGCTAAAATGTGCTGTCCACGTATATGGCCACTAAGCCCTAGGAGTATAATGATTAACATAAGCACATTATTGTTTATTTTATTTTATTTTTTAAACTTATTTAATGTACCTTTCTTATTGGATTTGATTGATTGATTGATTGATTGATTCTTTTTTTTTTTCAAATGCTATTCACTTGTGTTCCATAAATAACTTTAGATTTACATTATTTAATTGTTAACACTCAGGAAAACTTCTTGTAAAGTTATAGGAGGAGCATGCATCAGTTTTATTTCCCTGCGTTTTTTTTTTCCTAAGTATAAAATTCTAAATCAATTTGGATGATCTCAGACTCTCATCTGTTTCTCTTCAGGTGGGACTGTTGGACCTGGAGTTAAACCGTCTAACCAAAGCACTGTTCCTGGCTCAGGTGGTTCTGTCTGTCGTCATGGTTGCTCTTCAGGGATTTCTTGGGCCCTGGTTCCGAAACCTCTTCCGTTTTGTTGTTCTGTTTTCATACATCATCCCTATTAGGTACTGTTAGTTTTTTATTGCTCAGACTGCACTAATGTTAAAATATGACTCTACTAATGTGAAATATTGCATGTGTGTAGTTTAAGAGTAAACCTGGACATGGGAAAGTCAGCGTACGGTTGGATGATTATGAAGGATGAAAATATTCCAGGCACTGTGGTTCGGACAAGCACCATCCCAGAAGAGCTGGGCCGGCTGGTCTACCTGCTCACAGACAAAACAGGTTATTTCATATTATCTACTCATAATTTCACAATTTTCAACATTTAACTACTTCATTTCAAATTATACTTTGCACTTCTGTTTTGGGGAACTTCCATTTAAAAGAACTGAACGTAATCATTTTAAATAATAAGGTTGTGCTACATGTATTCCAGTATATAGTGATAAGATGATGTCATGAACAGTAAACAGTACGTTCAGCTTTTTGCTTTTTTTTTTTCTCAACCTTTGTGTAAAGAACATTATGCTTGGTTAACATGATGTTACCATTATAGTATCTCAAGCATATCAGTGCTTTTTTTACCTATTTTATTTTATTAAACTATTTTATTTTATTTGCCTATTTTATTCCATTTTGAACCTATTTCTTTAACCTATTTTGTTTTTATTTTATTTTAATTTTATTTACCTATTTTATTAATCAATTTTATTTTTCTTATATTATATTAGCATATTTTATTTTATTTACCTTTTTTGTTTTACCTATTCGTATTTATATTTTATTTTATTTTATTTACCTATTCTATTTCATTTATTACCCTTTTTTATTGCTATTTTATTTTAGTTTCCTGTTTTATTGAATTTTATTTTACCTATTTTTTACCTATTTTATTTTATTTTTTAACTTATTTTATTATCCTATTTTATTTTAATATATTATATAAAATTATTTTATTTCATTTTCTTTCCCTATTTTTTACCTATTTTGAGTTTATTTTATTTTATTTACCTATTTTATTTCATTTTCTTAACCTATTCTTTTACCTATTTGTATTGTATTTTATTGTATTGTGTTGTATTGTATTATTTATTGTATTGTATTTGTATTTATTTTATTAACCTGTTTTATTGCTATTCTTTTTAGTTACCTAATTTATTTAATTTTTTAACCTATTTTTGTTTTACCTATTTTGTTTTCATTTTTTATTTGTTTTTATTTTCTTAACCTATTTTATTTTATAAAATTTTATTAACATATTTAATTTAATTTACCCATTTTGTATTATTTTATTAACCTATTTTATTCTATTACATTTAAATAACATATTTTATCTTATTTACCTTTTCTATTTTATTAACTTATTTTTAATCTATTTTATTAGCTTATTTTATTACATTTTATTAACACTTTATTTTATTTAACTATTTTATTTTATTTACCTATTTTATTTTATTACATGTGATCAACATATTTAATTTTATTTACCTATTTTTTTATTTTATTAACTTATTTTAACCTATTTTATTAACCTATTTTATTTTATTACATTTTATTAACATATTTTATTTTTTAACTTTTTTTTTACCTATTTTGATTTGATTCTTTTTATAAATTTTGTTTCACTTTATTAACCGATTACATTTTTTACCTATTTGCATTGTATTGTATTATATTAACCAATTTTAACCTATTTTATTTTATTAACCTGTTTTATTAATGTCTTATATATATTTTTTTTTTTACCTATTTTTTTACATTTATTTTATTAACCTATTTTATTTTAGTTGCATTTTTATTTTATTTTTAACCTATTTTTTTAACCTATTTTGTTTTCAATTTAATTTGTTTTATTTTACCTGTTCTATTTATTTATTTTTTTTTACTTATTTTATTTTATCTATTTTACTTGGCCTATTTTATTTCTCCTCTGTTCTACTTTGTTGAAATCACTCTGGCCATCCGAAAGCTTTTATAATAACAATTGATTTCTTTCCCGATCTTAATCTTTGTGTGATGTTTTTCCAGGCACTCTGACCCAGAACGAGATGGTCTTCAAGCGCCTCCATCTCGGCACTGTGTCATACGGAACGGACACAATGGATGAGATCCAGAGTCACATCATCCAGTCCTACGCTCAGGTGTCTTTCATTATTCACTTTCATTATACTGAAACTTCAACAGCTCCACGTCCTCCACAAACTGCTGTCGCTGTGTGTGTGTGTGTGTGTGTGTGTGTGTTTGGTGCCAACAGCTGGGTGACACGATGTTAAAGCCACAGTAGCAATTGATTTTCATGCTCCACGGTCCTTCATTACTGTGATGATGGAGTGGCAGGCAGGTTTGAAATGTACCCATGATATGAGCGATCATAGCCTTATTATATCCCCCCTCAGGACATGTCAGAGTCCGTGTCCAACAACTTGTGTGAAATTGAGTTCGACAGGAATCAATAAACATAATGTAATTTACAGCTTAACATGCTTTGCTGTGCACAAGGCAGTTCTAGCTGCGATTCTCTCTGGAGTGTTATGAGTATAAAGAAATTGCTATTAAAACAGCTGTTGTTTTGCAGAGGGCAAACCCCATCGTCTTATTCGAGACGGGGTGAGTGTACAGACAGATCATGTCGGACCTGCTGGGATTCGGAGCTCAAATTGTTTTCTGAAATGTCCAAATCTGATATTTCTTGTGTATGGGGTTCAGTTCAGTTCACAGCCTTAAGTTCACCAGCGTTTTTTGACACTTTTTTAGTAGTCTTCTGGCTTAGATTTTCTGTGAAGTTAGACTTTGAAGATGAAGTTGGTCAGGTTTGTGACAGTAATTTCGTTACAAAGGTGAGAAAATAAACATTCAGACAAGTGTATTTTTGTTTTTTGGCTGTTAAGTTAAATTGTTCTCTGATATCTACATAGTATGTTTATGGCTTCAGTAAGTTAAATAAATTTTATACTCCATAAAAAAACCCATAGAATCAAAAGTTCCATGATTGACCATATATGGCTCTTTTATTATTGTTCAATGCCTTGGTATAACCAGATTTTCATTATAGGGCACCTTTATTATTGCTGTGGTATAAAAAATGTTCATACTATATCTGTGAATGTATTTTTGCTGCAATTAACACATTTTTAAAAAAATGAATACAAAGTGAATTTCAAGAATATTACAGAAATTTTAGCTCAAAATTTAAATTTTACATAAAGGTATTCTTTAAATGGACATGAAACCCTTGACTAGATTTTATAAGGTTTTCACAGATTTATATGTCGAACATCAATTAAGACTATGTTTGCATTTATTAGCTTTAATTGCAGGTAACAACTAACTAATACACGTCTCATGGTTTAGTTTTAGGTCACTGTTTTGACATATGATATGGTCAGTAAAAAGCAGTCAAAAATAAAAGATGAAAAAACTCTAGAGGCAAAATACAATACAAAATCAATGCAATATAGCAAAGATAGTCCTAAAAAACAGTGCTTTTCAGATTTTTATGTACCGTGTAGTAGATTTCAAATATTCAAACTGAAAAATATAATCAGATATAACATTGCATACTAGGGATGTAACGATTCACCATGAACCGGTTGACAATTGTTTTGAATATGTGACGATTCAAACCGATAGAAATGTTGAATGAATCACAATACATGTTTTGAACTGGAGAGGGCACTGTGACTGTAGGCCCAAACTTGTTTCATCTGCGCATCTGTTGCGAGCAAAAGGTGAGGGGGTTGAGTAAAATGACAGCTGTAAATTGCAGCAAACAAACACAAACTGTGCGAATTTTGCCAAAAAAAACCAAAAAAAACGTTTACACTAACAGAACAACGTCAGTATAGTGAAAAACTACCATCACAGATGTCCATATGCAAAAAAAACTATTAATAAGCCAAACCACGCGGACTGGATGATTTGCAGCTCCACTTGCTCTGACGAGTGCTACAGAGATCACACGGTGCATCAGTGTTTTCATAGCGAAAGTGTAAAGATATTTTTCAGACTGAAAGAGAAAGTTGTGCTGTTACAGAAGCCGGTTTTAGACTATTTTTATCCTTTCATTTTCAAATTAGTTTATGCATATTTGCTTAGTATTATTATAGAATATTTAAATATGTTCAAGTTTATCTCTTCTTAAGTGTATCACACTGATGCTTATATTAATTGATTATACAAGTAATATTAATTATTCATTTTTTATATTCAAGTTCAACTTCTGTCTCTATCCTACTGTAATTAGTGATTCGGTAATCTTAATTTATTTTATTTATTTGTTTTTTATTTTTTTCTGTCCCCTGGATCAGAGAGCCTCTGTACTCACTGCTCTCTGGTTAAGGAAAGACTTTCCTCTTCACACCAGCCATCTCAGTCCCCAGTAAAAAAGTTTTATTTTTATTTATTTATTTATTTATTTTTTCAGCAGGGGGTATTGTACATGTGCAAAGACCTCAGCTTATGCCGGAAAACTTAGATATGCAATATTTCTTTTATTATTATATTTCTTAAATTCTTCTGTATATTTTTTTATTTATTTGTTTTTAAAATAGAAATTTAGTTATGGCAGAAAATGTATTATTTAGCAAAAAAAATGTGCAGCATTTAAGTATAAAAATGAAAGAGCTCTTCACCTTAAATTAATTTCAAATAATTTTATTTAAAAAATCATGACTTAATCGAGAATCGTGAGATTATAATAAATTATGAGTCAGGTGAATCATTACATCCCTATTGGTACATGACATGTTCAGTAAAAAAGCAAAGTCAAAATTTAAAGGTGCAGTAGGTGATCTGCCTAAATGCTAACCGGTTAGCATAATATATTTGAAACACAATCCCTCCCCTGCCGTCCAAAGCCACGCCTTCTGAAATTACAAACATGCACATTAATGATGACAGAGACCCACTAGATTTTGTCATTCGCCAGTTAGAAAACTTTATAGTACTTTATATAATACTACAATTCCGAATGAAACTATTATATCTAGCACATTTTCAGTTGTGTAGCAAGCAAAACTTGTCATTATGCGCAATATTTCATTCAAGCAAGGTCTCACTTTCTCACATGCTTTGTCCTAAAGTGGCTACTGTATGCTTAGTGCTTGGCCAGCGGCATGCAGGAATTACACTTATTACTAAGCCATACAGGATACAGGATAGGCAGAATATCGCTATTACATATGTTGTGTTGTTAAACTAAATAAAAATAACTTGTGAAACTGAAAATAGTTACATCAGTCTTTCGCTGGAAGATTTCAATGGCTAAACAAAACTTCTATGCATATAACCCATTCGTAATAACACAATCTGCATCAGCTTTGCGTGACTAAAAGAGTTTTAAAACACAACATTTCCTGTCTAAAAGAAATACTTCAGCCGTGGAGTCATCCTTCCTTCAGCGAGCAAAAGTAACTTCAATATTGATTCAGGATTTCAAAGTTTTGATTGAGCATTTGTTTTGCTCTCTCTCGTGTGCAGGTGAAGTACATGCACATGAAACATCTACGTGAACGGCTGCAGATGTACAAATCTACATTTGCTGACAGACAGTTTGAGCTACTTATCAGAATTATGGGAAATATCGGCTCGACAATATTTAATTGGATAAACATTTTTTTTAATCTTATGCCATACCAGAATATGAAAATACATATAAATACATTTAGATCATTTACTTCAATCATTACTATTGGAATGTGAAGAGACTTTCAACCAGCACTACCAAAAATGTTTCTAAAGACAATCACCTACTGCACCTTTAAATCAAGAAACTTTATAAGCAAAACACAATACAAAATGAATACAATATGGCAGAGATAATACTAACATAAACAGGGTTTTTCATGTACCTACAGTAACAGTATATTTCAATATAATCAGGTATAATGTGTATAGGCCTAATCTACACTCTATAAATTAAATAAAGTTTAACCATTACTGAGCAAGCTATTTAGTCAAGAACATATTAAAAACACAGACCGTTTACTTTAAGACGCAGCTCAGATGCAGCACAATGAGAAAGTTACAGAAAAAAAATACGTTCCAAGGCATAACTGATTGAATGTTTATTAACATAATTATTGGTGAGAACCGAGTCTTACCATTGAGAAGCAATACTTAATTTACCTAAACTTTCATCCATCTGTTTTGATGAGGTACATCTCAGATCTCCGGCGTGAATCCCATGTGTGGCTCACGCTCTGGCATGCTGATATTCACACACATTCTTTTTCAGGTGATTATCTCCTACTTTAGTGCTCATCGATGGGTCATTTACTCACAAGGAGCAGTGTTTCAGCACATGGACATACATTCTAACATGCACAGAGTCAGTTAAGAGATTAATTAAAGGATAGGGGGAATTCAAAAACGAAATATCCATGACTGTTGTTGTACTGAATAGTTCAATATTATAGAGTATTGCAGCATCCCTACAAGTTTTGATCTTTCCCCCCTAATTTCATCTTCTGTTTCTAAAATTAGTGCAGCGACATTGGTGGTGGCATATAGGCGTAGGACAATGAGCACTATGATGAGGCAGTGGTGTCTAATTATAAATCAGTCACACTTTGATATGTTTCTTTTTGGTGTTAATGAAAAGTCTATAACTTAATTTGGTTAAATTTCTCAATGCTAGTGTAAATAAACCCTCTTTTCGCCCTATCAAAAGAACAAAATGACCTGTTTTGGTTCGTGTCCCTTTAAATAATAATATGCTGCTGTTCACCCCAGGGGCGAGGCCTTAGATCTGTCATTTGTGATAATATAGTAATTGAATTAACAAGGTGTGAACTGATATGTTTGAGTAAATATTAGCTAGCTTGAGCAGTGTTTTATTTAACTTAGATTGTATAATATCAAAATTAAGGTCAAAAACATAATACTAAATTATGCTACATAAAGCACACTTGCAGAAAACAGTTGACAGAGCAAAATGGTTAATTGATTCTCTGCCAGTAGATGTCTGTCTGCGGTGCCTTGCTATGACTCGGCATGCTGTTCATGTTTCTGCCGCACCACAGAGAGACATAATTTCACGTGAAGGGGTAGGGGTGTCCCAATTCTCTTTAACTTGAAGGCATAGGGCTAAGAGAAAGGCTAGATATCCCTCAAAACAGAGATTTTTTTACGACTACACTCA